AGTTCATATCAATATCAGTAATATATTTTATATATTATACATAATTATATAATTATTTATTTTTTTAAAAGAAAACTTCTATAAACTAACCTACAACTAGAAATAATCAGACATACTATTTTATCTGATGGAAGTTTTAGGACTATTCTTAATATTAAAAATGTATCAACTGTAGAACAAGATGTTTAAGTCAACGAACAGAAAGGAAGCCTAATAAAGTAGGGTGGGTGTTAGAAAACCCCATTAACAGACGCCTTTATTTCTCAATCATATGCTTCCCAGTATGTTCTAAAGAGCATTATGGCCAGAAAAAGAATGCTGAGATCATGTATCTAATTTTATTTCTATCTAAGATAAGTTATCCCTCTTCATCTAAGAAAAAAACTAAGTGAATTAAAATAAAAAAACATGGACAAGTACTCTGACTTACTGAATCTTTACTTATGATGAAATATAAATAATAAGGAGCTTCTTTTACATGAGGGTAGTATGAACAATATGAAGAAGTCTGACTTTTCATGATAACTACTGTGCTCTCAATCTTTTCTACCTATGGGTTCTAGTTGTATTGTCTTGTTTTAAATTGTATGCATAAAATCAAAGTTTATTCACTTCTATCGTGAACAGCTTCCTCAAATTTACCTCCATCTAACAGTATGTTGCCAAATATAATGAAAAACATGATCCAAGGTACAATTTCTAAGCTCAAGGAGCTCACAATATATAGGAAGGAAGATATTGGAATCTATACACATCACATCAAGCTAATACTACCAGGTAACATATGGTTCATGTCATATATAAGTGGATACATATTCCTCTGGGAGTTCTAACACAGGAAAGACTGGTGTGGACCAAGAGACAGAGAAGGGAAAGTTTAAAACAAGTGGTGGGATATGAGCTGGGCTTTAAGGCATGGGTGGAATTCATATAAGCAGGGAAGTAGAGAACATTCCGGACTATAACAACAAAAGGCATAAAAGTGGGAATAAGAAGGAGAATATATAAGGCGCAGAGTACAGAGTCAGTCAGTCAAAAAAAGAGGAGGGTTTGTATTTCATTTTTTTCTCTGTCTCCAATAACTCCTGAGACATGACATCCTCCCATCATTAACAGTGGCAGTGGGCAACAGTAAAGATTCCCACATCTGAAAGTCATCATACTAAATTGTTTTAGGAGGAAAAGCAAGAGCGAATGGAGTGAGCACTTCTGATATGACTTTAAGATTTTAGATACTAGGTGATACAGGTGGCAGTAGTGAGAAAGAAAAATAAGTAAGTTCAAACCAGAAGCCAAGTTTTTTCAATAAGATTCATTTTAGACATACTAATTTTCAAATGATAAATATCAAAATGGTTAACTGGAGATGTGGGACTGGCACTCAGGAGAGTTGACGGCTTGACAAACATTTGGGTGTTATCAGTATACAGATGACAGGGGTTATGGAGAAGGAAAGCAAGGACACACATAAACACACACAGAGTCTGTCTGTCCATCTGTCTCTGGCAAAGTCAATGGAAGCAAAGGTTCAGAGGTAGGAGGATATCTAGAAGAATACAACCCAAGAAAGCAGTAACTAATACAAGGACCAACAGATTTGGCCTTAACATTACTCTAGGCCCTGGGGAGAAAATGCACAGTGTGGTATGGGCAAGCAGCAGACTGTACAGGGTCGCTACAAAGATAGGAAGGTGGGGAAAATGGCCACACAAAGCAATAAAAGTAGAGAAAAATAAGTTGGTAGTTAAGGTGGCAGCAATAGCCATGAAAGGGGTATTTTCAAATTGAAGAATCCTATGTCCAAGAGGCCTATGTGAAGATGGATATCAGAGAAGAAAGAGCTTAAAGATGAAGAGAAGGTAATAAAGAGATGATTGTAGGGTGCGGAATAATACAGCTACTAAGAACATTTACTGAACACTTTCCAGGTGCCAATCACTCTGTGAGGCACTTTACTGCACTATCTCATTTTATTCTTACATCAGCTCTTAGTGTTTGTTATTTTTATTATCCCATGTTACAGATGAGGAAACCAAAGTGTAGAATGGTTAAATTACTTAAGATCACAAACCTAGGAAGTGGCAGAGCTAGGAACTGAATTCAAGTTTGTTTGACATCAAATTGTTGCTATAAAGTTCTATTCAAAACTGAAGAAACCAGGCATATGAGAGTGAATCTCTAAAATATTTGTTGACTAGCCAGAAGAAAAATATTTTTAATAAGATCATATGTAGGCAATTCTTTAAGGTAGGAAGAATGTGAGTCTACCTTCTCCCCTTACGAAAAACAAAACAAAAAATACACACCCAAACCTTAGACATTTGGGATAAAATGGTTTTTCACAATGTTTCCCCCTTGGAATTGGATCACTTTGGGCCTAATTTGTCCACAGAACTCGGTAAACTGGTAGTATATCTCATAAAAGCTAACAGTGATCATCTCATGAAATAAAATGTGAAGTCATCTTCAAGAAAAAAATCCTGAACTGAAAGTTTTCAAGGCAGTAATTAACAGAAATACAGACAGGAAACAAAAATTCAGAAATTAATTACACAGCAGACTTTCTACTCTAACTGAATTAGAGAGACTACATAAACACAAAACAAAAGAAAATTAAAACTTTTGGCTTCAAAAGTTTGATTTCTGTGTTTGAGATATGAGCTCATATTATCACTGTGACTTTATTAATATGGAGAAAAGCAAGAACACTCAAAAACCCAAGTGTGGCAGGTACTGATAAGTCAAAATTCCCTTACTTCTCCTTCCTGATGTCTTCATTTTGACATTTCTCATTAGCACCGCCATTAGAAAGTAGGGTCAGAAAGAAGCAGTGAAATACACTCTCTTTGATTCTGCCATTTATTAATAGCTCCAGTGAGTTGCCTTTTGCCAGGGAAATTAGAAAGTTAAGTTTTGAGAGCTGGAGTTATTTACAGACTTTAATTATCCATATAGTTTCCAGTCTACACCTCAGTACCAATGGGTAAATCAGTTACCTCAAAAAAGGTAATGAATCTACTTGTTACCACCTACGATAAGTTTTGCTTCAGAAAATTGAAAATGATCACTACTATGAAGAGTTTTAATTACTTGTAGATGTCAATTATCCACATCATTCTTAGTCTAGTGCCTCATTACCATGCATAACATAGATACCTGTAGTGGGATGGAATAAATAATGAATCTACTAACCCCAATCTTTAATTAATCCACTATATTTTTCAATGAATTTGTTTTCAATGATTACTAGTTGGTCTTTACTTCCCATGGCCCAAGATGCCTTACTTATACTTAGAGCACTCTATGTGGAAAAATTCAACCATTTCATCTTCTTGTGCCAATCACACATTCTGGATTTTGCGAAGCTTAAGGTTAGACATACACCTTACCACTGCCACTAAGTAAGAAGGGCAAGCAAATCATGGAGAAATTCTGATGGACAACAAAACTTCTATAATTATAAAAAGCCAAATATTCAAGGATAGCCTATTTAAACTGAAGGAAACAATGTAAATTTCAGCAGTCTTCTAAACTGGATATTTAAATTCACATCCTCAAAAAACGCAGTAGGGAAAAACCAACAGGTAGACATACTCAACAAAATGCTGTCTATTACAAGAACCTGTGTACTTTACAGCAGTAACTGGCTAAATTTAGAAGCTGTCCAAGATTGTATCAATAGCTACATCTATTTCTTCGAATTATGAAAACTTGAATAGATTATTTTATCTTCCATTTTACACTATTTTTAGTAATAACTGCTTAAAATGTGTGGCTCTTTTGCATTTCCTAAGAAGCTCAAAAACTGCACAAAGTAATGTAATTCAGATAACTTACCCTCTTATGCCCACCTAACCTCACTACCAGAAAGAGAATTACATTGAAGATGAACTCTTAACTTGCACTGCCTTTAGGAAAATTCAAGTAAATATAATAAATGTAGTCACCTAATCAGAGAATCAACTTCCGACAAGTCCCTCTGGTTTCTTCCTCAACTCTTCAGTAAATCATTCTCCCCGCCCTAGCACAGTCCACCAGACAGACAATCTCTAATGAATGTCCTGCATCAAAACAAAACAATGGACCTAACAATTTAGAGTTTTTCCCTACTTAAAACTATTAGGAAAAGCAGGAAAATCCAACATACAAGCAACACATTAAGAAATGCCCATCCAAGAGTTCTTACTAGCAACTGCTACCAGTGCTTCTATATCCAATCTCCTGTATGTGCCAGTTCAGCATTCAGGAAACAGTACCCCAATAACATGGCCACATGCATTGCTTACTGCTCTAAGTGAGGCACTGCCCAGTTTTCTCTATTTCTAAGGTTAGAAACACTGCTACCCCCTTATTTTTATCATTTCCCAAACAAAAACGGAGGTTTTATCATCCTTTCTCTTTGTAAAATGAAACTATTTAACACAACACCTAATGAAAATGAATTAAAGCTCTTTATGCCAAAGTTTAAGATATGCTGGTTACTAAGCTACTCATAAAATACTACTTTAAATTGTTCTATATCATCTCCCACCCTACCAGTATTATGAGAAACAGTTCTTTAACACACTAGATCTCCTAGCTAACAAAAATTTCACATGCATGAAAAAGCATTTTGGTTTTTGATGATGATGATGAGGAGGAGGAGGAGGAGGAGATGATGGTCTCACTCTAATTTTACTGGTGCAAAAATATTAACATTGTAAGTCATGCAAACTTACACCTTTAATGATATAATATGCAGGTAAGTACCATTTTAAAAATACTTTCAAAACCAGAAATCTATGCTGAAAAATACTGCTTTCTCATTGCAGTATAATCTTTGCAGGCCAGAATTCCAAGCCAGAACAATCATCTTGGAAAAGATAAACATTTATATAATATAAACACGTTAAGCATTCCTTTGACCTAATATAACATCCAGCAAATAGTAAATAACCATATACATTTAAAATGAATAGTCCTAAATCAGAAGTGGAACACTAAATTTTATGGTCACTTACTTGAACCTCGCTTGTCCTTTGTTTAATAGTATCTTCTTTCTCCTTAAGGTCCTGTTCCACATTATTCTTTTCCCTAGAAGACCAGCAAACAATGCAAGAATATTTTAGAACATCAGCTACAGCTGGTATGGTTATCCATCCTCCTAATCCTGAATCGTTTTTTAAATACATAGTGAAACATTCAATTTTTAAATGAAGGGCAGATTTTTCCACCCTCTTTTAATTATTCATGGAATAAAAATCAATATAAGCTCCGTTTGTAAAAAAAAATTGCTTTCTCACTAAAATGTGGTGAAAAAAGGATAGATTAAAAAAGGAAGAGGAGAAAAATAATCAATGAAACACTCAGGTTTCACTGATGTCACTGTTGCTATGGAAATAGTGTCCAATGAAAATTGCTGGTAAAGAAAAGGAGGGGTTGCATCAGCTCTGTAAGGTTAACCCTTAGGTACCACTGTCAAATTAAATGAAAATGGCTAATAGAAACAGTCAACAATATTAAGGAAAAACACATTTACTGAAGTGTTAATTTCTCCTTAAATCACTGGTGTGCATCAATTTTAGAATGAAACAACAGAGAAAATGGGAAAGATTGTTAATACACAGGCAATTTGCTCTATCAAAAATTACATCTCAAAAAAAGCTATTTTAGGACCATATATCAAATCAAATTGATCAAATATACACACAGTATATATAAAGTAAAAAAAGAACCACAGCAGCATTTACCTCTTCTACTCTTCAAATCAAACATGCTGGGCTCCACTTTTACTTTGAAACATGGTTACCTAAATTCTTACACGCTTTAATCAGGCCTGGGTTGCTATGAATGAATCCCAAGCAACCTTAGATTCAGAATTGCAAAATAAAGCTGTTTCTTTTGATTTAACAATTTAACTGCCCATTTGTAGTTATACTGAAATCATGCGTGCACACGCACACACAAACACACGCACCTCCCTTCACTTTCTTTTCTGCAAAATGAGAGAAAAAGCCCAAAGAATTCTGCAGCAGTACATTTCTGGGGTTGTGGGGAAAGGTAAAAGGCAAAAACATGGAGAAGGGAAGACAGCATTTAACAAGTCCTTCATGTTAGTATAGCCAAGTTTCTCCTTCGAGCTTCAAGACTACATTTCAGTTTCCATCTCAGACATAACCCAAAATGTAAGCTCAGGCTCCATTTAGTTCCAGCATAAAGGAAAGTGAGAAAATTATACCAAAGCAGATACTTAAGGGACAACTGCATCCTTCATTTATATTTCTCACCTTCTTGAGGTGAGATTTTAAATGTAGAAAAAAATAAACTGTTTTGGATATGTAGGCACAATGTTCTTAAGATGTGTATGGAAGAAACTATACAAATAAAGCTATTTGTACATTGTACTTTTAAATGTTTGAGATGGCCAAGGAGCTCACTAACCGTTTGTCAGATGGGTCGCAATGTGGGTCGTGATGTCGTGGAGATTTTAAACAATCCCTTACTATGCGAATCATTGTTGCAGTCCGATCCTTCCATACCTCAACCTATTTATTATGCAAAGGCCATCCCCCACCTCCAACCCTTATATAAATAAGGCAAATTCAAGAAATAGAAAAACACAGGGGGAAAATTTTCTGAAAATACCCAACAAATTCTGCAAGCTCAATCTTGGAAATTTTCTTTCCTCCTTATGTGAGCAGATGAATGTTTTCAGTCCTGCTGCAGCATGTTAGAGATAAGTCATATGAAAATCTAGCACCCTCCCCCCATCCCAAATCCTCGGAGGCATTCCACACAAGGTCAGTATCAACTCAGCTCCCAGTTTCTGAAAGTAGATAATAACAAAAATAGAAAACATTACAGTGTCAGAGATCAGCAGTGCACACGCTTGTACTGAATTCTTTCTGCTCTGCTGCTAACTGCTGTCACTGACAGTGTCTGCTCAGATCAAGTGTGCACGGAGGAAAACAGGGCTACAAGAAGGCAGTGAGCTGACTCAAAGTAGCCAAGGCAGAAGGATGGGAGAGCAAAGGAAGGAAGCTCACTTGGTGAAAATCCAAAACAGATTACAAAGGACTCAGCTGTGAAAAGCAAACACAGTCTATGTTTAGGTAAAATGGAGGAAGTTTGAGGAGTACAAACTTCGTAATTTGGGGTCTATTGGGGAGGAAGGGGAAGAGGAGGAAAGGATGGTGTTATTTCTAAACATACTCTGAAGACCATTCCCAACAACAAAAAAAATATGGAGATCTTTAGGCATTAATTCCTCTTAGTACGAAGATCAATTAAATTTAACTTTTGATTCATGTTTATCTAATAAAATTCTGGTCTTATAATATTCCTTTTATTAGCACAACCAAGTAGTATAACATATATTGCTAAACAGAAAACTTAAAAAGAATTAAATGTTCCATTATATCACTTTCTATTTAAAAAATTATAACTGAAAACCTGTCCTGTAAATCAGACTGAAAATCAAGTAATTTTCTCAACCTAGTTTACAATTTCAGAGATGCTCAAATGTTATTCTGTTGTCTTGCAATGACTCTTAACCTTTATAACTATTCTTCTCATTTCAGGCAAATAAAAATATTTAAACATATATTCAGGTGCACTTAGGATACTTGACCATATTTCTTACCTTCTCCCTACTTTGAACAACATGTATACTTTTCTACAGTTGATGGACACATAATCAATACAAGCTTTATTTTTAACACTAGTAATTTTAAAACAATTCTCTTTAAGGATCTGTGCCACAGTAGAAAGTAATATTAACATGCAACTTCTCAAGGAGCCCACCAATATAGGTAGATAAGGCAGATATAAGACATTATTTCAAAAAGAGGTGTGTGAGGCTGGGTGTGGTGGCTCACACCTGTAATTCCAGCAGTTTGGGAGGCCGAGGTGGGTGGATCACTTGAGGTCAGGAGTTCGAGACCAGCCTGGCCAATGTGGTAAAACCCTGTCTCTACTAAAAATACAATGATTAGCTGGGTATGGTCTCGCACACCTGCAGTCCCTGCTGCTAAGGAGGCTGAGGCAGGAGGATCACTTGAACTCAGAAGGCAGAGGCTGCAGTGAGCAGATATCGGGCCACTGCATTCCAGCCTGGGCAACAGAGTTAGACCCTGTCACAAAAAAAAAAAAAAAAAAAAAAAAAAACCGGTGTATGAGCATTTTGCCCGAACCACCACTCATCTTGGATGTCATGACAGGAAAAGCTATTACCTTCACCTTAGTAATTTCCAGAAAAGGAAAATGAAATGATCCTACTCATCCTCTATTTTAGACTATCTTTCTGGTTCTTTTCATTCTCAAGATGCTTGCACATCCTGAGGAATCCACAAGTACCAAAGCTATAAAGAACAAGTCAGGAATAAAGCTCCCTGGTATTCCAAAGGCTCACAGTACTGATTCCATGGAGCGGTGAATTTGAACCATCAAGGAAAGCAAATCTCAAGCTAGGCTTTCAGAAGCCTAAGGTTGACAAACACATAAATCTAATAAGAAATGGTCAAGTTATTCACAAGGACAGTTAGGCTGAGGGACCTTGAGTCTATGCAATCCACTTCCATTTTCCTAGACTCTATGTACAAGGAGGGCGTGAGCCATCTGTCTTAGTTTTTGATACAATTCCAATATTATCAAAGACAAGATAAAATCATCTTCAAAGTCCTTCCCAGATACACAGTTTTATGTCTTTTTTTCTAAACATCAGCATCCACTGTTTTGTAACCAGAAAACATTAAAAACTAGAAACTATTAGAAACTAGAAAGTTGTGAAAACTCACAAAGCTGTATTTTTCAATCCTGAAACTTATTTATAAAAATTCTCTTGGAGTACATTTAGCCATAAAAATGGTATCACTAAGTAGCTTAACTGCCAATCTCTCTCACAAGCAAACAGAGAAAAATCTAGCTCTTCTGAGAAATTGTTTTTCTCACTCTGATCAGGTCACTTAACCTGTCAGAGCCCTAGTCTCATTTTTCGTATGTGGATGCTAATATCTCTATCATCTTAGGATTTGCAAGGCAAAATATGTAAGATGTCAAGTAATTAATATTGAGCCTAAATATTAACATTACTTAGAATTTTAAACAATAATGAAGTAGTTTTTTAATTTGTCAAAAGGAATTATGAGTTATAAAAAAGGTTAGAAAACACTGATCTAATATATAGAATAAATAATGTAAACACTAAAATTTCTACCCCCAAAATCTTATCTGAATATCATTCAAAATAACCTATCTGCTCTCTACTTTTAGAAACTCATTATATGGTTTTGAAACCATAAGATTTGGAGAAAAACAGGCTCCAAAATACAAGCTCTATCACAAGTCACCTTACATCACTGTAGTAACAGCTATTTGTTCTGGCCGACCCTCTCTCCTTCTAGGGTTCAGCAATCCTTTTAGGAGATTGCTCCTCTTTCTGCCTCTTCTAATGTCTTTCTACTCATATAGTTGAAACAGAAGATGCCATCTCTCTGGGCAGTGACTGGCCAGAAATTGGCTCCTGGTCGAAGCTTAGCCAGTCAAAGTACCCCACCACATAATCACAGAGATTAATTCAAGAATGAGCCTGTAACCGATGCCAAAGCAGTCAGAATCTTTATCTAGGATGCCTTTATTTGGAACTGATAAAAAGCTAGCATACTAGGTAGCAAGCCCTGGCTCCTGTCACCTCCTGTCATACTTAATTTTATGGGCTAATTTGGCTAGGCCACAGTGCCCAGATATTTGGACAAACACAACCCTACATGTTACTGTGAAGGTATTTTTTAGGTGAGATGAACATTTAAATCAGTAGACTTGAGTAAAGCAGATTACCCTTAATAATGTAAGTAGACCACATCCAATCACTTGAAGGCATTAAGAGAAAGATGAGGTCCCCCAAGGAATAAGGAATTCTATCTCAGATTACCTTTAAACTTGAGATGCAACATCAACTCTTCACTGGGCCTCCAGCCTGCCAGCCTGTCCTACAGATGTCAGACTTGCCAGCTCCCACAACCTTAAAAATTTCTTAAAATAAATCTCTGTCTCCCTCTCTCTCTACATATACACACACACACACATATATACACATA